CAGCTACAATTGTACAGAGACAGATAAGGATACAGATAACTGTTCGTCTTTTCTGGAGTAGTTCCCAACTGGCAGACAGCTAAAATGCTAAAATGTATTTTTCTCTTTTTAATTATAACCTCTTTTCTTCATTATTATCCAAAGCATAATATCTGACTATTTACTTCCAAATATTACACTGACACACACACACACACACACACACACACACACACACACACACACACACACACACACACACACACACGTAAAGCTTTTATGGAGACTTCCCATAGACGTAATGATTTTTTTAATGTAATGTACACTGTTAGACATTTTATTGTATTTTTGTGATAACTGGCACTGTTAGTGCTGTTAGTGGACTAACCTGACAAGAAAATGAATGAATGTATAACTAGATTCAACATAAAAGAATAAAATCATACAAAACAATTAAGTATTTTGTTGTTTCAACCCATTTTAAGCATACTGTAGTTTGAACAAGCAGCAAAAGACTTTTTTTATTGTGTGTGTACCCAGGTAAAAAAAAAAAAAAAAGGGGGGGGGGGGGGGCACTAAAATGCACCTTATTTAAGTATACTTAATACACTTTTCAGTAATGAACTAAAAGTGCTCTTTTTTCCTGCACTAATTTTATACTTAATGTACTAAAAGATACTTGTATTAAGTATATGTTCAGATAAACGTAATACCATCTAAGTGTACTCAACTGTGCTATTTTGAGACACCCTAAAATTGAACTAAAATGTGCTTTTAACATACTATATCTGTATTTTAAAATATATATTTAGTTACAACTAGAAATACACTTGAACCCTACTTTTAAACAATTAAATATATTTATGACTAATTTAAAGTATAATAGTAATATATTAAAAGAATATACAAATTGTAAAAAAAAAGTGTGCAAAATACTGTATTAAAAGTGCTCTATTTTCACAAACTCATTTTGTATTTAATGTACTAAAAATTTGTATTAAGTACATTTTAAGATAAACTTAAGTACATCTAAGTGTACTCCACTGTGCTATTATAAGACACCATGAAGCTGATCTAAAATGTGCTTTTAACATACTAAACATTTATTTAAAGAATATATTTTGAAGGAATACTGGGGGTACAAAAAAAAAAAAAAAACAGCATCTGTGCTTCATCAAAACACTTTAATCTTTTTGTGCAATAAACCACAAGTCCAAAAATACCTTATGGGAGGGAACAAAAACTTAGCAAAAACTGAGAACACAAAATTATAAAAAAAAAAAAAGATGCAACATTACAACACATATATGAAATGTAAAGACATTTTGGGAAAATGTACTACTACTACAATACATTACTAATAGATTTTTAATAAAGTCAATTTTATGTAAACTTAAAATTACCACATTCAAAATCAATTTAAGTGTTAGTGATAATATTGCATTCACATTAAGTGTACTTAAGTACAACTTTTGGAAAAATGGACTTCTACTACAATACATTACTAATAGATTTTATATATATTCACTTTTTTTAAACTTAGGATTAGTATGTAAACAGTGTACTAAAAATCAGCTAATGTTTAAAGCATTTAAAGCACACTTTTGAAAAACACACTAATAAAACTCTTTTGGATGTTTTTTTTTTCTTTAGTGTACTTTATTGTAGTACACTAAAAAATTATTTAAGTATTACTGGTATTTAGTATACTTTTGTCAAGTGTACTAAAGTCCTACTGAAGTATAAACAAACATTTAATTAGTATATTTATAGTGTAAAACCATCAAACTTTTATTTAACACAAAAAAAACAATGTACTAAAAATGTATTTGCGGGTATTTAAGTATATTTTAATTGCATTTAATTAAATTTTTTTTTTCACCTGGGTACATTTAGTCATTTTGGGACCATGTTTGTTTACAAAGATCTCTTGCTCACCTGATCCTGGTTGGTTAGGTTAAGTGTGTCCCAAACAAATCCTTGTGGAAGGGAATATGACTCTTCTCTGACTTTTGGCCACTCTGATTCAATTGGCCCACATGATGTCACTTTTTCATCTAAAAGAGCATGAATATATTTTGTAGATATGCAGAGTTTTGGTACTTTCTAGATTTTGCACTGTGCATCATACCTATCTTAGGCACTGGCTGGGTATCCCAAAACCGGTATGTGTGTCTACGAGCCTCTTGTAGGTTCTTTGGAAGCCCCTGACCTAAAGAAAACAGGTGCAGTGCTTTCTGAATTTCCTGTTGCTTCTCCTCGGGTAAAGAGTCAAGCTAGGGATACATTTGTGCAGATTTGACATGTTAAATATTAACACACTCAACACACACAAAAATCATCATTATTCCTAATGATTTCACCAAGTGTCAGTTACCATTTCAAAGGGGTCACGTGGCCCCTCTTTAGCCCATGCCTGCTCCCTGTTTTTCTTTGCCTTCTTCTTTTTGCCTTCAGCTTCTTTGTTTTCCTCGGAGCTCTCTGCACTGAATACAACCAATACACTTTAAAATAAGGCATAAATGTAACAAATCCCAAAAAAAGAATGAACAGATCACTTACAGAACATTCTGCTTAGCCATTAAAGAGTTTGTGGACATTGGAGCAGCCATTGTTGTGATCAGTCAGCTCAGTGGTTATGGGTGTAGAAGCTTATCTTAATTTGCAGTGAAGGCAGTAGGTAGACACCCCGGCCTCCCCCCATGAGTAACCACCAATCAGCTGCACTCCACACCCTCATACTTATCTTATAGTGCAGTACGCATTTAGACTAATCTCCAAGCCTCTAAAAGAAGAGTTTAAACTGTCAGACTTCAACTTTTACATTGCTCCATGCTTCAGAAATATATGTAACTTTTAGTTTGTTTAAGATAACTTCAAATAAAACTAAAAGACTTCTGAATTTACGACAAATAATAGGTATAAATGATATTATCAGACCTTTGAGTTAAATAAGTTAAGTAAAAATACAAATGCACTAATAAGTTAACTTGAATCCTTCATGTTATCCTAACTCTAATGAATTGTGTGTATTTTTGCCGTGTGTATTTGTTTACAGTGTGTAATTCACATTTTTTCAAATGTATTTAGTTGTGTAATTAGTTTTTTAGTTGGTAAACAAACGTAGTTGATGGAAATCCTGCCCTTAATTAAATTAAGAGTTCCTCCAATTTTTTTATTTTTTTATTTTTATTTTGAGTGTGTCTCTTGTATGTCCACTTGAGTCTTTAGTCATTTTGAAGAAACGATTAAAAATCTTTTCTGTCAATGCATGATATACAACTCCAAATCAGAAAAAACAGTATTGGGACAGTATAGGAAACACAAAAAAAAAAAAAAAAAGTAGTGATTTCTAAATTCAGTTTGGCTCGTAGTTTATTACAGACAATACATCAAACATTATTTAATGTGTTCCTCATAATCTTTATTGCTTTTTTCATAATAAACACGTATTCTAATTAAATTGGAACAGTAAAGCATTTACCAGTTTTGCCATTTCTTTTCACAACTTAAAAATGTTTAGGAACCGAAGACACCAAGTGATTCAGGTGCAATTTTGTCCGATTTTTTTTCTAAAAAAACAAGTCTTGAGGTGTGCAACATTATGAGGTCTTCATTGTCTCATTTTGGACTTCAAATTGCACCACACATTCTCTATTGGAGACAAGTCAGGATTGTAAACAGGCCAGTCAAATACCTGTATCCTCTTCCTCTGCAGTCAGGACTTTGTAATGAGTTCACAATGTGGTTTTGCATTGTCTTGTTGAGATATGGATGGGCGTCCCTGGAAAATAAGGCAGCATATTGTGCTAAAAAATCTCTATTTACTTTTCAGCATTAATGGTGCCATCACAGAATTACAAGTTACAACCCCATACATCACAGACACTGGCTTTTGGACTTGTTGCTGGTAACAGTATGGATGATCCTTTTTTCTTTGGTCTGGAGCACACAGCATCCATTTCTCTCTCCCCCCCCCAAAAAAAAAATACTTATCCATCGGTCCACAGTATATGTTTCCACTGTGTGATGATTCATCCCAGATGAATTTTATAAAATTGTTGCACCTTCTGGACACTGTTAACAAAGACCTTCCTTCAGTGCAGCTGGTTTTTGTGGATGTTACTATGTATTATGGTGTTTGACAAAGGTATGCCTAAGTAGTCCTGAGTCCATGTGGTGATATCGCTTGGATGAATGACAGTTGTTAATGCAGTGCCGCCTGAGGGATCAGAGATAATGATTGTTCAGCTTAGGCTTTTGCGCTTGTATTTTACACTGAAATTTCTCCAGATTCGTTGAAACTTTTTAAATTTTTCTATACTCTGCTAAAGGTAAAATAATCTAATCCTTCCTATGTTTCTTTGGATAAAATAGTTTTTAAATATTTCAATAATTTCCTTATGTAAATTGTTGGCAAACTGGTCATTCTCAGCCCATCTTTACCCGTGAATAACTAGACCTTTCTTGGATGCTGCTTTTGTACCACATCATAATTACAATCACCTGTTGACATCCCCTGTTTCAAATCACATAATTTAAACAATTTACCTGATTACAAGCCCTAAACTGTTCCTGTGCCAACTTTCCTTGCAATGTGTTGCAGGTCTGAATGACAGGAAAGGATGTATATTTACAAATGAAATGAAGTTGACCGGACTATTTTGTTTAAATATTGTCTACAATGAAATGCAAGTTATATTATTACACTTTCTGTTCAGTCAAATTATGTATTTATTCATATATATATATATATATATATATATATATATATATATATATATATATATATATACACAGTGTAAGGTAATTTTATGTGAGGGAGGGGAGAAGTATAGTCAAAGATATAATTAGCAGAGTTACACTTTATAAATTTGAGCCAATCGTGTGTATTTATTAAACAGTATGTATGTTTTATTGCACAGCTCAATGCCGAACTCATTAAAATAAGTGTTTGAATAAGCGGTAGTAAGCAAGTTTCGCTTGCTGTGAAGTTGGAGTGACCAGACTCGCAAGCCTTCTTAGCAGTTATATACTATTTTTAATAAATAATTTTGATGGAATGGCAGTCAAAAACAGGTAGAGGGAGGTCATGTAAGCCCATTGGCAGTGGGGTTCTTAAACCCCTGGCTATGAGCTTGAAAAAAATCCTTTGCTACTGACAACTTTCTGTCATTTGATGGCTTTTTGTTGTTTTCAGTGAGACTTCTCAGGGTCTCGCTTACATTTGTAGCCTTAAACAATTTATTTAACATGGCTTTATTAACAGCTGTATGACAGAACATTTGGCATTGATTCCCTTTATATAAATGCAACAATGGCCTATGTGGCTAAGTGTGACGTCAAGTGAAGCAGCTTCCAGGTCCAAGCGCTATATTAAACTGTACAGGGAGACTAGGTAATAATGGAAATAATAAATATTTACAAAGTGAATTTTGATTACTCACACAGCTGAAGCTGCTCATAGACTGATTACACTCACATATATACAGTTCACTCTGACGTTGCTGAGTCTTGTTTATCAGTTTTTCGAACATTACATCTTGTTTCCCCTCGCCTTGTTTGTTTATGTTGTCTGTACTGACCAATCGCCTGTGTATTTGACTATGACTCTGGATTGCCTGTATACATCAGTTTGCTCCTGATTGTGACCGTTGCTTGCCTGATCATCTCTATTAAATAAACCTGCTTTTAGATCCGCATCTCCCTTGTCAGCATTCCACTTCACATTACACAGCAAGTCCAAAGACTGTTGTGTACACCAAGATTTTATATAAATTTCACTTTAATGTGAGATATGACTAAAAAGTAATCATAAACTAATATTTTCTCAATTCAAATGATTAGCGTCTTGGACCCGAAAACAGTATTCCAAACGTCACAACTTAACAAGCGGATATGCTTACAGTATATTTCAAAATAAGCAATTCATAGCATTTTAAAGTCATTCTTATCAGACTAACACTAACTATTTTGCAAAATAAAAAGTTTACAATGAACTGTTATGTAAATATGTGATAAATATATCAATTTCAAGTTAAAAGCTATAAAGGTTAAACATATTGAAAAATAAAAGTTAAAAGAGTTGCAGAGATTTTGTCATGGCAGTATGGCATGTACAAAAAGTCAAATCACATTTTCTTGTCTTTGTGTTGACATAAGTGCAGCAGTTTTCCTTATTATACTGAGTACATTTTAATTGCACTGGCTCAGCTCAGCGATTGTCAACACCATCTTCAAGTATGCTTCATGTCTGAGTCGGTTCTTCACTTTCAGTAGCTGCATAGAAAGTCATTTTTGTTGAGAAATGATAACTTGCAAGATGCTACATAGACTGGTGCATGTAAAGTCCTGTCATTTGGGATACCTTTGGGATATGCAGATAATAATACATAGTTCAAAATAATACAAATAATACATAGTTCATAACATATAGCTCTCACGTAGTTTTTGGTTACAAAGTTGGTAAAAAAGATGTTCTTGATGATTGAAACGCATGCTTTATTCTCGGGCACTATGTGCGACTACTTTTCTTGTGGGGCTGCTGAATCCAGGTGTGATTTTGACATGAATGAAGAGACTGGAGGGCGATATGCTACAGCCATCTGCATTCAAAAGGCGCACGTGCCTGTAACCTAAAGCACAGATGTTGCAAATAAGCATGTGCATTTTCCATAGAACAATCTGTGTTCAGTAAAGAATCAACAAAAGATGTACCTGTCCGCAAGCTTGGGAACGGAAGTGTAAACTGGCCAAGAAAATCATTCCTGGTGGTGTAGTCATGGTCCTCGACCATAAAGCGGATTAACACCAGCTCTGGCACATGAAGCTGGAACTTAAAGGTACAGTCCCATCTAGGGTTAAACCCTGAGGATGAAAACATAAAAAAAATAAAATTAACATTCTAAAGGGGTGGAAATCCTATTTTAAACTTTAGTTGATGTGTAATGTAGTTGTGTGAACATATACAACACTCTGAATGTAAGATGGGCAAAGTTCAATGCAAAGGGAGACATACCGACTTTTACAGAGTTAGCTTAGCAAAGCCTACAGTGTATGAAGTTTGGGGACTACAAAAAATACATCTGGGTTAATGAAATCATAAACCCTTCATGGTTTGGCATACACCACGCACAGCGAAGGGGCGTGGCCAAAGGCGCTGTAATGTTATAGCAGAGAAAGCTAAAATGATGTCCAAACGCTACTATTCAAAAGATTCTTCTGTTTCTGTATTTTGGCTTCCAAAGTACACATGAATTATGTTAAAAAATATAGCTAGCATTTGACAAAGGACAGCTTCAAGAATCTCTCCCAGTTCAGTGCTGGATTCGTTTCAGCAGAATTCGTTTAGAAGCTCCAACCATGATAGACGAAGCTGTAGATTGCAAGTTAAAATTGTTAAAATTGATCTATTACACACATAGTTTTTAGTGTTAATGGTAGTGAGGATGTAAACAAGGATGTAAACTACAGGAAATGCTGATTGACATTGTTAACAATATGGCTACAAATTCATAATTATCCATAAAACTGATGTAAACACCCACAAACTTTGCCAGAGCTGCTGTGTCTCTCTATGTGGCCATTTTCCCTGCGTTCTACATCTTAGAAACAGAATCAGAATAGTTTTTATTGCCAAATGTGCTTTACACACACAAGGAATTTGTTTTGGCTCAATATGAGAAAAGATGACAAACATTACACAAAGACGCAATAAGACAAAAAGCTCTACAGATTTGATATAAATAGAAGGTGCTGTGTACAAATGCGTATGAGAACCCTGCTGAAAAATCCAGCCTTAACCAGCCTAGGATGGTTGGCTGGTTATAGTTGGTCGACCAGCCTGGTTTTAGAGGGGTTTTCTGAAAAAAAAAACACTTCCAGGACTACTAGCTGGACAGGCTGGGAGATGACCAGCTAAAACCAGCTTGATCAGCCTAGCCAGGTCGGGAGCCCAGCCAAAACCAGCTATGTCCAGCTTAAACCAGGATGGTCAAGCTGGTTTTAAACGGTTTTAGCTGGTCACTTTCCAGTCTGACCAGCTAAGACCAGGCTGAAATGGATGAAAACAAGCCTGGAAGTGGCCAAACCCCTCTAAAACCAGGCTGGTCGACCAGCTAAAACCAGTTAACCTTCCTAGGCTGGTTTAGGCTGAATTTTTCAGCAGGGAAGGTATTGCATTGTATTGTTATAAGGTGCTGTGTTCAAGTGCATATTAAATAACAATCTCACAAAAGATATGTGAACATTTCATAATACTTACACATGCTTATTCTGAATATATGTGAAAGACACTTGTTAGATTTTATTTTAGAGAGCAGACGTGAGGTTCAGCTGTGTCCTCTTCATTTTCTGTCTGATTCAGGCTTAAACTGATACGGCTAACAGCTACTCTGACTGACAATGTATTTCCACAATGGCAAAGTGTGTGCTAGTAAAAGCATGTCGCTTCCTGGGGAAGTGGAGCTGATCCACAAATCACAGCACATTATGTTAGATGACCAATCACAGCCACTTGAGGGCTTTAGAACTAGGAAATATGATAGATGTTTCATGTTAGCCGAGTAGTATGTAATCAAAGTAAGATATATGAAAGATAACGTGATTTTTTACAAATGAAGCAAAAGCTTACATTACTGCTCCCCATAAACACAAATAAGCCTTAAAAATACACTCTGGACCACCCCTTTAAACAAATTAAAAATAAAAAAATGAACATTAAAAATATGCTTATGTACCATTATTGTTAATATGGTGTGTCTTCTTCGTGCTGTTGTCTATGGGAGCCCCGTAAATTTGGACCCAAACAAGAGGGTCCACAATGGAGCTGAGCTTTTCTTTGTCAGGTTTAGGCAGCTGCTGGGCTGAAATCACCTGGAACGAGACAAATATGGTTACATGATTTTACACACAATAGAAAATATCTGTACATTATCTGTACAAAATGTACAATATCTGTACATGGGTTCCAGCCATTTCCAGCCTGGTTTTAGCTGGACAGGCTGGGAGATGACCATCCGTCTTTCGGATAAGAAGTTAAACCGAGGTCCCGACTCTCTGTGGTCGTTAAAAATCCCAGGATGTCCTTCGAAAAAGAGTAGGGGTTTAACCCCGGCATCCTGGCCAAATCTGCCCTTTGGCCTCTGTCCATCAAGGCCTCCTAACCCTCCCCATATCATGATTGGCATATCATCCCTCTGTCTCCTCTCGACCAATCAGCCGGTGTGTGGTGTGCGGTCTGGTGCAAAATGGCTGAAGTCGCGTCATCCAGGTGGATGCTGCACACTGGTGGTGGATGAGGAGATTCCCACCATTGTGTAAAGCGCTTTGAGTGCCCAGAAAAGCGCTATATAAATGTAGGGAATTATTATTATTAGATTAGCAGTTTTCCATAATTTGTGTTGAATGTTTATATTTTTTTTAATTACCCCTGCTTATTTATGCTTTTGGAATTGCATTATGGGACTTTGATCTTTCTTCTAATAAATTTTAACCTTGAAAAATTGGGAAAAGTGACTTTTATTGTTTAAAAGTTCAAAGTGAGGATGATGTATATTATGGTACAAAAACCTTGTAATAAACTGCCAGTACATTTTATTATGTTATTTTACAGACTTATTTCTTAATATGTTATTTCTTATACATTTTAAAACTACTAAAATGTCAATAAAAGTCACTCTGCAGACAGAGCAGAGATCAAGGTCCCAAAATGCAATTCATAAGCATAATTAAACAAAAAAAAAAATTGTGAATCACAAAAAAAAAAAGTGTGAAACCCTTGTGAATCACAATAGGTTTTACAGTGTTTGCTGCAACCTACTGTACACAGCAAGCATTTTTTTTTTGCTTTTAAAAGATGTGTATATCTAAACATATCCGTCTTGGCTAAAACGAGGCTAAACTTGGGCTGTCAGTGAAAATCTAATAGATGTCACGTCTAAGAATAGGCCAAAACTAGACTAGTCATCAATAAACAGAAATGAATGACTACACATATAAAGTCTGTCTAATCTGTCTAATTGACGACTAGTCTAGTTCTCGGCTATTCTTAGTTGCCTATTAGATTTTCAATAAAAGCCCAAGTTTAGCCTCGTTTTAGCCAAGCTGATCTATTAAACACAAAACTGTTTGCTGGATAATGTATTCTAAAACACTGCATGGAAATTGAGGCTGCCACTATTTTACTGATTCATTTAAATTTTTAGACTATTTTTCCCAAATATATCTGCAGGTCAAATGTGTTTACTTTATGGCACTCAACTTCAGTATTTCAAATAATTTGTTCTAGCTGGAAATAGAGAGGCAGCAGATGTGAGGTTTTGTTTTCACAAAGACTGCTCTGTTTAGATGGTTTACCTTGATAGTTAGTAGTGTCGGGTTGTAGCCAGGACCTCCCCCAGTGTTTTCTGGGTTAAACTCTGAATCAGGCTGGCACATAAAGCTTGGTTTTAGCACATAGCCGCAATTTCCGTTTGCTAAGAAACGGCCTCTGTTCAGATCCATCTCTTCAGATTGGGTTTGGAAGTTCAGTGCCACTGCAAAATAGCTTTTTGTCAGTCATTTATAAATATGGACTGTCATTTTTACATTTTTGCATGGTCTGCACATTTTTCTTCAATAAATGTTTACCTATCTGGCAACCAGCATTCCACATGTCCTGAGGGTTGTAGTTAGAAGACTGCACCCTCTGACCAGATGGATAGATTCGGCTCAGTTGAACACTGTTGTGACGTACAAACAGTTTTCCTAGACACACACAAAGAAAATTAAAAAAAAAAATTGGCATCCACAAACATAAATATTCGTTTGACATAAAATGCCTTCACTGTATTGCAATTTTGGAAACAAAAGCATTATTAAAATATGAAAAATAATATGTAAAGGAAATAAAACAAATCAAAATCACTTTAATATCACTCATGAATACATAAGGTATTTATGTGCTTTTTTGCCAAATTATGGAAAAACTCCTACATGTGTGTCGTTTAAACATATGAACATTAATTATGAACAGACCAATTTTATTCCAAAACATGTTTTAAATCTAGTTTCCATTGTTATACAAAATTGTTATAAACCTAGTATTACATATAGTACCTGATTCTTTGATAAGTTTCAGCGCATCACTCTCAGAGAAAGAGGACATCTCGTTTGGAGCTTTCTTGGCGGATGGATCAAACTGTTTAAAGGCAACACTGGAGGTATAAACCACCAGATCAGACAGTTCAGAACTCAACTTACAGTCTCTCTGAGGAAATGTAAAAGGAAAAAAAAAAAAAAAACTGTCAAGTTGCTGACATAGGATTCAGCTAGAAAAACAAAAACACACAGAACACTAGAACCATTGACACTACTGTATAAGCATATACACTGACCAGCCACTTTATTATGTACACCTGTTCAACCGCTCGGTAATGCAAATTTCTAATCAGCTAATCACATGGCAGCAACTTAGTGCATTCAGGTATGTAGATGCTAGTTTACAATGATAGTTTAAATGATAGTTTACAATAGATGATTTTAAAAACGTTGCCTGGTCTCAGTCTCGATTTCTACTGCCACATTCGAATGGTAGGGTCAGAATTTGGTGTCAACAACATGATAGCATGGATCTATCCTGCCTTGTACCAACAGTTCAGGCTGGTGGTGTATTGGTGTGGGAGATATTCTCTTGGCACACTTTGGACCCATTAGTACCAATGTCCATCCCACAGTGTACCCATTTTCCGATGGCTACTTCCTACTACTATTATGGCTACTTACTATTATGGAAATAAACTTTGTGATATTTCAAAACAATGCCATGTTAAATGCATACCATAATCACAGCTAAAATATTCTAAATATGGTCACTATCTGATCCTGAGGGGGAAAAAAAACTGTAAAGTGCTCTGCAAATGTGGGAAATTTGTAAAATAAGTGAGGTATTTGGAGCATATGGATTCTTGATTTTTTTTAAGGTGAAGATACTTAAGTTTAATGATTTGGTTATGTTTAAACTTTTTTTTTGTCTCTACAGTATGGTAGACACATTCTACCAACACATTCTGACCTAAAACACATTCTGACCTTCTCTGGTTTAGGTTTACAATCAGCTTTAGATTCATCATCTGAGGAGCTTGAGTCGGAGCTGGAGCTGTCCTGCTCCACTTTGATCTTCTTTGCTTTCATCAAAATCTTCCCTTTTAGATCCTGCCAGAAAAAGAAGAACAATAGTCATTTGTGTAATCCAGTTCCAGTTAACATGCAAAACAATCTAGAAAAAACATCTGATTTGTTGGCCCCAACTGCGCCTGCTTTATCCCAAGGTTTGTTCTCCAGTTTTATCAATTGGTAGTTTAGGTTCCTTCACTCTGTTCTTCAGTGTATTGTCCTTGAAGAGTGACATTTGAATTTAACTGGACTGAATCAGTTCTTATTTAACAGGAACTACACAAGCATTCTACCACATGCTCGCCGTCTGATATGATCCAGTGTTTCAAAATCTGAAATAATGTTATGGCTTTTATTCTTTTTCCTCTTTTGTTAAGCTGCTTTGACACAATCACATTATAAAGCACTGTAGAAATAGATTTAAAAGAAAAACATTTACATTTACTTGTTAACGAACTCATATTTTAACCTTTTTACAAGATCTTGGTTGGTCTTTGGAAGTCTTTGGAGTCTCCAGAATGTGTCTGTAAAGTTTCAATACCAATCAGATTATTTATTATACAATGCAGAAAACGCTTTATTATATTATAATGCAGAAAGAAAGAAATTTGGAATCAGAGCAAAGTGTTGCTGTTTTTTTAGCCTGTGCCTTTAAATGCAAATGGTCAGGTTCAATACTCTGTAAACAAAACATAAACTAGCACTGCCATGCTGATGACCTCCAACTATATTTTCCAATCAAACCAGGGAAAGAGATTTTTCATTAGACAACCTCTTTCTGCCAAAATGATGTCAAGACCTGGGGTAAGTTTTGGAAAACCATCATTAGCCAACTAAGGTTGCAAGGTAATATTTAAAAGCAGAATCTAAGTTACGTCTCCAAAGCTAGAGAAAACAAAATATATAGCATACGTTAATGGTTTTAATTTATAGTAGGCTATTCATTAAGAAATGTTTCTGTAGCCTACTGTATATGACATGGACCAATTGGTTACAACATTTCTGCAGTGGTTTGAATGCATCAAAGTTGTAAAGGTAGACTTTTATTTAAAAAAAAATAAAAAAAAAAATTAAAAAAAATATCCTAAGTAATAATAATACACTAATGATAATAGCTTAATTGCAGTTGCAATTGTGTATTTTGCATTCAGTGTTTATTTCAAGGTTCATTCTTCAGGCTGCCTGTGCTTGCAGTTTTCTAAATAATTATCTTAAGCTTTTTCGATTTGCTGTATATTGGTTGCGTTTAATTTAGTTAATTTATATATTTGGCCAAGAAAAAATTTGGGACTATTTTACTAAATTTTATTAACAAATAATAAATATTCAGCTAAGCTGTTTTTCCCCATGCACATTTATAAGCATATCGTTTTTCGATGCAATTCATGCATGTGCAAGATCTTAATATAAAATTTTACGTTCTGTTCCTCCAACTCCCCCAGGATTTCTACCAATTGCATACGCCATTTGCCCTACAGCTCTTCAAACCATAGCAAATGTTTGCTTTTGAATCTGTAGCACATGGATTCTGGATGGTCCCTTTGGAAACTGATTTGTCTATTTTTTTCACAAAATGAGGTTGTAAAAAATAACTTACTAAATTACTACTACATACTAAAACTTACTAATTACTGAATTACTTTTATCACACTGTTTGCTGGCCATCCACACTCCTTCCACTGACTAACAAATGACATTGCTATATCATTCTCCCATTTCTTGCACTTGCTCTCGATTGCTAACTTGCACATAAACACACAGCTCCTGGTGAATCATTAAGAGTTCCTTTCACTGGAACTAAGTGACCCCTAAACCCCAAAAGGATCCTCACTCCACCCACCCCCCTTTACCGAACTTCACACTTTAATTTAAGATTACATCTGAACTCTCTTTAGAAAAGGCAGACTGCATTACCTCTGGTGATGGCAGGTATTGAAGTGGCTTGTCATTGAGAGGTTTGCTGAGCAGTTTGTCCCCCAGAATTGAGCGCAACTGCTGGGCCATGATTGTCTGTTGCTCCACAGAGCAGTGGTTCTCCAGAGACAGAATAAGAGGATATGGAGAAGTCTAGAAAACAAGCATTTTCATTATGCATTTTTTTTTCATTTTACTTTTTTTAATCCCTTATTTGACATTATTTTGAAGAATGAAGGAAGACTAGTGCAAATTATTTATATTTTACATACATTTTATAAGATTTATGTTTAACTTTAAAAATAATACACTAAATATAACAATAATAGGAATCTTATTGTACCTTATTATATATTTGCACTTGAAAATGCAGAAAAAGATTTTTCAAGCTAAACATCCAAGATGTCTGACAAACAACCAACACTTTGCTTTATTTACCCCAATGAATGCATAATTTAGTCAGATGAAAGTGAAAAAAACACTTCCTGTGCTCCAGGGGTGCCTGCAGGATTTTATACAAAGGTACGCAAATATCCAGCAACATCCGCCCCATCATCCCTTATTCTTATTTCAATCTCAAAAAATACTGATGATTGCTGTCATAGGTAACATTATTTAAGGGCAATGCTGTAAGTGAGACTGAGAAAATGAAAGCACGTCACTGTATCTTAATTTTAATATAAATTTAGTTGGTCAGTTATCTACTAGATAAACAAGAATAACGAATAAATTCTAAGGTGTGTAGCATGAAATTAGCTCATTTTATGAATATTAATAATCAACAATAACGGTTTATTCTTAATTATTAATATTCCGGCTTAAGCTTCAGTCAGTTTGGTCAAACAAACATATGATTGTAAATGATCATGCTCGCGCGACCGAGCGGATTCCCAGATTATGAATATTAATTATCAACAATAACGAATTATTATTAATCATTAATATTCCGGATCAATTTATTGTCAATTTGACCAAACGAACACAAGCAGAGCCGCCGCTCTTCCGAGCGGACACTGTAATCTATTCATTTAGAAAAAGGGAATTTAATTGCTACTTCTTGTGAAGTAGATTAATCATTCAAAAGTTTTAAACAACTTTTAATAGCTAGGCAGGGGAATCTGTATTTCAGTGACATTTTCTCGTGAGGCAAACAATACAATTCATTTGATTTTAATGGAATTTATTGACTAGTCAGACGTAACGAACAAACAAACGCACAAACATACATTTAACACAGAACAAAGGTAAACCACGCGGAGATATCGGGTCTATAGAACGTGTAACAGCAAAGAGAAATAGTAAAGCGAGGAAATGGAGATTTCAGGTAAAAAGTGACAAAACTTCCAGTTCCACACGCACCATTACGGACCACCAAGGTTATAAAAAAAAAACCTTTTTGATAAAAGGGGCACAGCTTAGTCGCATAACTAAAATCACCTGGTTTTTCATGTCTGGAGGTCTCTTTTATGCGTCTCTCTTCCGTCGTGATGAAAACTACTCTTGATGTCCTTTGATGCGTGGAGTTTGTAATGCAGTTCGGACGAACACGATCGCAAACTTTAAACTGAATTTACTTTGCCGGAAAATAAAGAAAACGTGGCGGGAAAGTCCTTGCGGCTGTGAAGAGCCGTGTGGCCCTTAAAGGGACCACCGTCAATGATGTTCCTTTTTGGGACGTTCTCTTTCTGCCCAGATGTTTGGGGGAAAGTGTGCTTATACCTGCGGGTCACGTGACAACCCGTACAGCATTCTGACCAATGATTTCAGGGGAAAGTTTGCGCGCGAACCTTCCTTTGTCTCTGGGCTGCGCGTATGCAAATTTGAGCGCTCGCCTAAAGCATGCGGACAGGCATTTAATACAGGGCTTTAAAGAATAAAACAATGCGAGTTATGGTCTCGATCTATGCATCATGTGTTATAAAATGTCGAGGGCATTCTATTGACACCAAACACTCTACAAGTACATCACATAGTTCCCATATCCTTACATCCTTGATGCTTTTAAAAAAGGCCTGCAAGCGTGAAGGTGTATAGTCTATATCAGGTATTGTACACATTACAAAAGTTAAATGAAATTAAACAAGAGATTTGGGTTATAAATGTCTTTGTTTAATTTTGAGGAATGTCTTGTCTGTGAGCAGAATGTTGGCTAAAGAGTTTTTTTTCCTTTTCTTATCTTATCTGTCACGTTCTTTTGAAGTAGGCAGAGAGTGGTTCTGTGAAGTCTCCCAGACTTGTTAACATGTCACCAAGGGATTACCAAGCCAGACTTTTCGTCACCAAGTGATTTTATTGTCCTGGCGATTCACCCAGATTGTTTTCTGGAATGTTAAATGGAATGTTTATCTCCAGAATGCAGGTTACAATATGTTACAGTCCCCCTCTTCCCAAACAACGTGGTTCGGAGAAAACCCGGTTGGTTGGGATCTAACTTAACTTGTTGGTTGGGCAGGAAGTGAGGGCCCCTCGATGTCCGTTCCTGAGTCAGCTGGACGGAGTTTCATTTCGATCAACGTGGGTGCAGCTCCTTGGCGTTCCTTTCCTTTCCCAGCTTTCCGTTGAAAGGCTCGTGGGAGTATGGCGGTGCACTTGTTCACTGGTGCTTGCATCTTATTGAATGGCGAGGCCCTTGTTAATGTGTGCTTCCCTGTTGTCGGGAGGCACGGAGTGGTAGTTGTTCCGCAGTTTTCCAGAGATGAGTGATAGAGGAGTATAGTTGTGAGGTTGCAGTGGTCTTCTGGTGAGACTGAGGTACATGATCGTGGCTGTATCCTGTGTAGGAAAGGAAGAGAGAGAGAGAGAGAGAGAGAGGGACAGGGGAGAGAGTAGGTGGTGTCTGTGATGACTGTGCTTGGCTGGGCATTCCACTGTGACACCGGTTGCAGGGTCTCTACCCCCTTTCCTGGCTTGTGGGCCAGTGTTTGTTACTCTGGTTGTGATACGTAAGTTTGAGGGTTGGCTGCTATGCAGCTGAGCGTATACAGCCAGGAGTCTTTGCCCTTCCTGTATGATGTTGGTAGTGCAGGGTGGGTGCCTCTGTCCAAGTTGTTTACATCATCAGAAGATATGCCATGGTCTGGGCTGTGTCGTCGGTGCTGAGAGACACTCTACCCATTTGGTGTACTGGCATATGAGTTCAAGGGGAAGAGAAAGCGAAGGAGAGAAAAACACACACACAAAAAAAAAAAAATTGTTGCTCCTTGTGAGCCCATGGAAGTGTCCCGCCCCATCCATCTGGGTGTCTGATCATGAGAGGATGGTTTCTCTGTTGCTGTGGTGCTCGGTGAATCAGCGCCCTGGGCATGTTTTGCTGTGTGCAGGGTCAGTACATTAGCATTACCCCCCTCTGGCTCTGAGGCAGCACGAACTGTTGTGTCGTGGGGTCTTCAGGGACAACCCAAAAAGGATTCACACGCACCTGTTTTTTAAGATGTAGGAGGTGTTGAGTGACATCTGTGTTGAAGCTGAGGTCAGACAGAAGGATCGGGTGGTAGGTGGGGTGAGTGGTGGAAAACTAACAAAACAAGAGACAAAGTAAAAGTAAAAAATAAAACTGGTCTGACGTGAGGAGTCAGATGCCTACGTGGTCGCAATGTCGTTTGCGACATTTGTCGGGCTGGTGAGATTGGATGTAGCAGCTAGGCTAGGCAGGGTTGTTGGCTGCCGGTTACAGCTGCCAGATCTCGGGGTTTTGGTTGGGTGGTGACCATGGTCCACCGTGTGATGCACCTTCTTGGTAAGGGCATCGGTCCAGTCATTCAGGTCCTTGTCAGTGCCTGAAAGTTTGAATTGTTCTTATCTTCTTCTGTAGACGACCATGATGTGGTTGTCAGTGTTGTGGTCGCCTACTTGGGAAGAAGAAAAAGTGTTGACGTTTCACAGGCTTGTGGTGGGCAGTTCTGAAGCCTTTTGTTTCCCCCCTGGGAGGTGGAACGTGAAACAGAGTCTAGCAAGTTGGAGTCTGCAGCTAAGTGCACTCTGATGTCATGGGCTGCTGTGCTTTGAAGGGTTACAATGGTGGCTGCCATTTCTGCATACTGCGGTGGTTGTGGGAGCATCCATCGACACAGGTTGTGGGCATACCTTGGCACGCATTCTCATCCCAGTACTTGGGAGTACTTGAATGACAGGTTGGCAGAGGTGGCTGGGGTTCCTCCTCTACAGCGTTGCAAATTGTCTGTCAGTTGTACAGTCTTGGTAAACAGCTATGCTGTTACCCAGCGTGGATTTGTGGCTTAAGGTGTAACAAGTGTCAATACAGTGGCCCTAGGGGTCCATCGGCCGCATGGCCGTACTGGCGTTCGTCTTTATGCCATCCCGGATGTGCTGACTGTTCAGTAACGTGACAGGTTGGTGGCAGGTGTCTATGATGGTTTTAGTGCTCCAAAGAAGTTGGAGAATAGCTGTTGAAATGGCACCCACCGTGCAGAGCGATGTTGTTACACAGTCTTAGTATTTGCCTTCTGGCGCAAGGAGTGTCTTACTTGCATATGCCCAGACGTTGTCTCACTTCAATCGTGGCCAGCTGTTGACCTTCCGTCAAACAGAAGGACAGCCCTTTTTTGACAGGGTGGTCACGGGTCGAGAAGTCTTTGAACAGTTCTTAATGACGTGTCTGGAGTAGTTGCACCCCTTTAGGGAGCCGCTCAGTACAGAGACCTTGCTAGGCGGTAGTCTTTGCGCTAGCCACAGTCAACTGTTGCAGGCCATGGTCTATCTCCTTTGAGTGGCCAGACACGGTGGTACTTTCATTAAGGATGTCATCAACGTAAATGAGGTTACCTCTTACATAAGCATCGGGATATGCTTTGTTCAGGAGGGTGTTGCTTTCGGCTGGTGAGTTGGCCTAGCCGACGGGGCACCTCATGATCATTTAGTGTCTGTTGTTCAAGGTGAAAGCTAGCTTATTTGGATGTACAGGTATTGTCCAGAAGGCGGGGACCACATCAAGCGTTGAGGAGATGGTTGGTCCTTGAATTCTGGGCACTTCCTGTTCCAGTGGTGTCATTGGCCTTTGTGACAATGGCATTTGCTGATTTAGCTTTCTATGGTCAGGCACCCTTTTGACCCTGGGCTTGAGGATGGGCCAGATGGGTGCCGAGCAGGTTTTGTTGCATAGCCCGATGTCCTTTTTCCAGCATGGAGTTGGATAT